TAATGACAGAGGTGCCCCCTTTCTACAGTGAGAGGTCACCGCAGCATTCCAGGGACTGGTGAGAGGGCTATTCGCCCATTGCTGATACTGCTAGCATGGACTGAGCCACTGAGAGCAGGACACCAAGTGTACCCAATCCATACTTCGCTCATACTGCACTCTATCCATTCCCATCTGCACTTCCACTACACTCTATCCTCACCCATCTGCACTAGCCTGGGACTGGAAGTGAGGACACCCAGGGCAAGCGAAATACTGCCCACCTCACAACACCTTCACCATTGCTGCAAGGAGACTGGAGCGTCCACTCACCCTCTGCTTCCCACAGCAGATCACAAGAGGCTTTCTGGAATAGATAGAGGGGACCCCCCCCTTCTACATTGTGAAAGGTCACTACAGCATCTGGGGACAGGTGAGAGAGCTATTAACCCTTTGCTGATACTGCTAGCAGGAACTGAGCCACTGAGAACCGGACACTCAATCCATACACCTTCCATACTGAACTCTATACCGCACCTATTCCAAACCTGGACTGCACCTATACCAACCCTATACCACATTATACCAAACTTTAGTCAAATCTGAACCACATATACCTTGCACATATGCCAAGACTTTACAGTACCTATACTGTACCTATACTGCATGCAGGTTAACTGGGATTGTCATTAAGTGAGCCAACACTCTTAAAGGGCCCCAACGATAGCTGGTAATAGAACATCTCAAAGGACTGACTCACCTCTAATAATTATTCTGCCACCCCCTTTGTTTCCCTGCCCACTTTGCTACCATCCTCTTTTCTTTTAGATGGTGCATACGCAGTTGGTCTAGGACTAGCATCCCTGCCATAAATGCACTCTAGCAGTATAGTTCCAGCAGTCAGTAGAATAAACTTTACTACTGTTCACTGTTGCACTTGAGGTGGCCTTGCTGCTAATTATGCTGATCTGGAAAGCAAGGGAATTTATTTATTAAAATTGGAGAGTGCAAAATCTGCTGAAGCTCTGCATAGAAACCAATCAGCTTCCATATTTTATTGTCAAAGCTTGATGGGACAAGCTGATGTTAGAATATTAGCTGCCATGCACAGCTGCAGCAGGTTCAGTTTTAGCAAATCTTCCCCCAAATGTCATCTCATGCCGACTCCTTGCTGGTGATCACTTTGTATGCTTAATAGTGTTATTACCATTGTTATTCCTTTGTATGCTTGCCGAGTTATCAACCATATTGGATGACAAAAGTTTGCCATTACTACCTGGTTTGATGCTTGTTTTCTGTGATCTATACCTACAGGATATGAAGTATTATTCCACTGTGATATCGTATGTTTGCACATTGAACCTGGTGAGTCAGAGGGGCTGAGGTTCTTGAGGTCGAGGCAAGGAACAGAGGACCCATCCTACTCAGTGGCTCCTATGTGGGTATTGCTACACTTGATAAGAAGAAGAAAGAATGATATAATACAAATGGAAACATTTTTAGTAAATAGACATTGTAAAATTTCAATTATACTTAATGGAGACAGGAAAACTTGCAACAGAACTATGTTTTTTTTTTCTTATGAGATAAGATCTAGATATCTACATCCCTGTGTTTCTTCATCATCTGGTCCAGAATCTTCTGAGAATGATCCTTCTAAGCTTGTTGCTGGCCTGAAAGATGATGGCTGCATTGACCGATGGAGATAATGACAGGATAATCCAACTGGCCATAGCCATTGGGTCTGTGTGATTTGTGGGTTTTCCAATAAAATAAATCAACCGAGAAATGAAGAAGGAGGTGAACATGAGAAGCAAGAAGAAGATTGTCCTCAGTGCCGTGACATGAGCCTGAAGATTTGGACGTGTTGATCCAGAGTCGTTATTCTTCACCCTCCAGATGTGTCTGAGCAGAAAGGAGGAAGTGAGGACCAGGCACAGGAGACTGAGGCAGAATGGCAGAATGACGCCTAGGAGAGTCACCGGCACAGAGTAGGATAAACTGACATAGTAGATGGCATTGGCAATAGAGGCTTTAACTGTAATGTTCTCAGACGACTGGGCATTACTGTCTACATTCAAAGCCCAGATAGTTGGGACATTCACAATGAACACCCCAAGTGCTGTCAGGAATAGAAGTTGACTCAGGAAATTGGACACAATTCTCTTTAACCAAATGAAGAACCCATAGCTGAGATTGGTGATGCTGGTACAGTAATGAATGGAGAGCCAGGCGGTCAACCAGAAGCTGTAATATGTCAGGAAATAAGCTGATGCTCTCAAGAATACGTATACTTCTCTAATGTATAAAACTCCTGGAGAAAAGACAAAAAGCATTCCCTGTAGAAACAACACACACTGGAGGAGAATATTCACCGTTCCCTTAGCCAGAAAGATCACATCGGTGGGACTCAACTTTCCTTTCTTCCTGATGCTGTCCAGGTTACCCATCACAATACAAGTGTTAGAAGGTATTGCCAAGATGAGTCCCAAGACTGAAGGGACTAAAATGAAGAAGGAGCGTGGAGGTAACATGTTCAGGTTTGGTGTGTGAGCTCAGGACAGAGATGACGGGACACAACCGGGGAAAGCAGACAGAATGATGGATTTCAAGTTTGAACTATAATAATAATCTTCAGATTCAGCTCTCGGTTGACTTTGCATAAATGTGATGGATCTAATTTCAAATCCAACATGTAAAGTACTCATTACATCGTGTAAACGATCCTGAAATCATTTCCATTATATTTAACTACTTCAGGACAAGTGGTTGATGGTACCTTACTGACCATTATGTACAATCAGGAAGGTATTCCTGGTGATTGAGAAGAGCGCTGGGGGGACAATCGAGGATTTTCCATGGACAGTTTTATCCTACAAGAATTATTTTCCTTGGCAGCAGATTTTGGGTGAAGATGGATTTAGAACAGATCATAATATTGTCCATGTACAGTGCAAACTGTATCCTGTGCCTTGTCCCTCCTATCACAATAATGGAAATATCCTTCCAGCAAAATGACTTGAAGTAATCTACAGATGATTTTTTTTTTAATCTAAAATTGGACAACAGAACATCAAAAAAAGTAATGAAAGCAATTTATAGAAATAATGTGTTTGCAAAGTGTAGGTAGGGGGTGGTAGAGAATAATTGGGGGTACTTGGGGTTTACTAGAGGTTATTGGGTGTTTTATAGAAAGCAATCCTTTTTACAAATCAATCGCTTCCTCTGTGGTAAAATTTGATGATCACCATCCATACTCCATGTTTGTCTTATGGCTATCCAGCGCAGAAGACACTAAAGACCTCCAGGCCCTCAGCTGCTACTCTTGGGGTTTCCACCCTCAACAACATTTTCTTCAAAATCTCCTTTGATCAGCTAAAATGATTGCATTTCAAATGTCAGTAAAGGTCCCTGTGTCACTTAAATAAACAACATTGAAAAAGATCAGAAAATTGAAATTTAAGTCCATTATACTCCCAAATCAGAGGAGAGGAGACTTCATATGCTAGACTGAAGTTCTTTTCAATGCTGATTTTTATTATTATTATTATTATTATTATTAATAATTTTATTGTTGACATTATTTGTACATTAAAAAAAAAATATTGAAAATATAACTTACCAGGCAGCCAGTTTGGCTGAAATAGTTAATCAAATTTCACTTTACCAATCTGCAGGGAATATTTTCCAGCAAATCGGTCATTTTGCAGTAAAACTGAGTTTGGTGAAATCCCTCTACTCACCCCAGGATGGAATGATTGGATTGGAATTACAATTTCCCAGACAGCTTGTTGAACCCAAACAGGTACAGCAATATAAAAGGTGAACCATAAAAGTTTGGGGTCATTGTTATCTTAAATTATTTTTCAAGTTTATGAATTTTTAAAATTGATGTTTTATCTCTCCAGTCCCTTTCAGGGGTTCCAAGGACATTTAAATGGGGTGATGATCAGATACCTACATGGGGGGTGAGTTGCCCCCTTCATAAAGCAAGGTCCACCTGAGAAATGAATAATCCATAGTTGAATACTTGCAATGAGGGCTGAGTAGTAGGCATTGCCCTTATCTCTAGGATTAAGAGATGTCCAAGTGTCATAAAGGGTTAAGGTCAGTAAATGAGATTTTATTGGACGTAAAGCTCAGAATGGAACTGAGAAGGAGCCTGAGGAGGAGTTGAGAGGTGGGTTGAGGGGTAAAAGAAGTCCCCCCCCCGGATCAAGATGTTGAATGCCGTCAATTGGTCGCACAATGTTCAAGAGAAGGTCACTTGTTTCTCATTGGGGTAATAAATATACAGAAGAAGATTAGGTCTAGCTCCCAGGGTGCCTTTGATAAAAAGAAATAAACCCTCAGGATTGGCCTGCCGGGAACAGATTTGAAGGGGGAGATCTCTTACAATTACTATGGCCGCGGTTGTAGTCTTGGATGTGGATGATGAAGTGTGATGGATCTCCGGGTACCAGTAGTTGGTAAATTTAGGTATATTTGAAATGTGTTTTTCTTGAATGAAGGCAATGTATATCCTGCAATAAATGATGGGCCGAACACCCCCCTGTTCAGTTTGCGGTCAAAAATCTGAACCTACAGAATGTTCGACCGCAAAAATCAAACACAAACAATTTACTGAGCGGTATCTTACGCCATCTGAGTATGTGGTGAGATCCCGCTTAGTGACTACAATCCGGCGGGAGTTCTATGATGAAGTCATACGGTATGTTAATAGTGAGACATTCATTTGTGTTTCAGCTGTCAGTGGGGTTCCCGGTGTCAGTGGGGTTCCTGGTGTCAGTGGGGATCCTGGTGTCAGTGGGGATCCTGGTGTCAGTGGGGTTCCCCGCTGACAGCTGGATGGAAAAATAATTGTTGGCATTTCCCGACAATTACATTTTTCTTTAACCACCTTCCGCCTGCCCTATAGTCCAACGACGGGCGCAAGGTGGTTCTCTCGTTCTGATAGGATGTCATATGACGTTCTACCATTCTCACTGCGCATGCACGGCTCAGGGAGCACACAGCGCGTCGATCATCAGTACGCTGTGTCCCTTGGACACAGCGGATCACGGAAAGAGCAGAAGATGTCGGCTCGGTCATGTGATCAGCTGTGTCCAATCACAGCTGATCACATGTAAACACGGAAATGCCAGTTATAAGCATTTCTCTCCCCTCTCGAGCTGTCACACTGACAGGGGAGAGGAGAGACGGTAATTGGCTTTCCGCAGAGTGGACATGTACACTGATCATCAGGGCACTGATGATCAGTGTGCCCTGATGATCAGTGTGGCCCCAGAAGTGCCACCTGTCAGAGTCCATCAGTGCCAGCTGTCAGTGCTCATCAGTGCCACATGCCAGTGCCCATCAGTGCCACATCAATGCCACATATCAGTGCCCATCTGAGCTGCCCATCAGTGCAACCTACCAGCGCCTCCTCATCAGTGCCACCTACCAGTGCCTCCTCATCAGTGCCACCTATCAGTGCCCATCAGTACAGCCTATCAGTGCCCATCAGTGCAGCCTCATTAGCGCACATCAGTGAAGGAGAAAAATCACTTATTTACAAAATTGTATAACAAAAACTAAGAAAAAAACGTTTCTTTTTTCAAAATTTTCAGTGGTTTTTGGTTTGTTTAAGAAAAAATAAAAATCCCCGAGGTGATTAAATACCACCAAAAGAAAGCTCTATCTGTCTCAAAAAAATTATAAAAATGTCATATTTGTACAGTGTTGCATGACCGCGCAATTGTCATTCAAAGTGCGACAGCGCTGAAAGCTGGAAATTGGTCGGGGCAGGAAGGGGGTAGAAGTGCCCTGTAGGCAGGAAGGGGGTAGAAGTGCCCGGTAGGCAGGAAGGGGGTAAGAAGTGTCCGGTAGCTAGTGGTTAAAGAAATGACATGGGGTCTCCCCTCCCATTCATACCAATCCCTTTGTATCTGGTATGAATTTTGAGGAGAACCCCATGCCAAAATTAAACAAGGGAGGTGAGTGAGTGCCCCCCCCCCCCCTCCTAAACCATGCCAGGCCACATGCCCTCAACATGGGGGGTACTTTGGCTCAGGGTTTTTTTAAATACTGTCATGATGTCACAATGTGATGTCATCATGCGCTGTGATTTGCCAAAGCATTGTAGATGACCTGTGGTCAGGTGCATTACTTTGGCCAATCACAATGTGCTGTTAGGGCGCACTGCATCACGGGGTGCGGCGGGCGGGTGAATAACCTGCTGAATGCCCGTATCATTCATGTGTTCAGTGAACACATGAACACTCAATGTTCATGTGGAACTTAGGTTCACCTCCAACGTTCAGCCCAACGTTACCTGCGATGGTGCAAATCCTGCAAGAAGTGAGATCTTAATTCGGTGATGTTCAGCCCATTGATGGTGAGAGACACAGCTAGGTGACGACTTTACGGTGAATTTGAGTTAGTAGAGGACTAAAAAATGTCCGGTGCTTATCTGTTCCTGTCCTAATTTATGACGCTAGCTTTTGAAATGTGCGCACATTGGAAGAGACTCACGCTGACACACAAGTTCAGTCTATGAACACTTCTAGTTTATTATAATGAGAAAGTGAACTTATATATGCAGAATGATGCGAGAGTCATGTGACAACAGCATAAGCATTATATTAGTCTTTGATTGGTCATTTCCACATGAAAACAATCTCCGTCATGGTATAGGTGTGATCTTCTTCCGTCTTATCTTATAGGAAAACATTATTTTGTCTTCCAAATCACACGGTGGGAGGGGGTCTGTGTGTGTGAGCAGACATTTCTTAAGCAAGGATTTCTTATAGTACCACAAAGCCCAGCAGGCAGAAAATATTCACACAACATATGTATTAAAGTATAAAAACTAAATATTTATAAAACTTATAGAAATAGCGTTATATATATATATATTCAATAGGAAACGAAATAGGCATTTTTACCAAAATCCATCACAGTCCCCCCTTAAAATGACTATTTTTTCCTCTGTCCCTATAAGACCTCGCTCATCTGTCCCTATAAGACCTCGCTCATCTGTCCTTATGTACCTTGGAACTCTTTTATGCTGTACGTTAGACAGGTGATGACTATTTCATCCCCCCCCCTTGCCACAGACTTTGTACATAAGGAAGTCAGATGCTATCCCTACAAAATTGGGTGAGATTACTATTGGCGGGGGAGGGACCGTAATGGGGGTATAAGGTTTTTCTTCATCTATCATGTGGGGATCCTCTTGCTCCTGGTTCAGGAAGGTAGGTGTTCTGTTGTCTACAGCTTTGCTCATCAATTTCCTCACACATGGTATAACACAGCATACAAACCAGGGCCAGGAGAATCAGAATTATTAGTACGGTTACCCCTATTTGGGCAAGTATCTTTTGCCACCCACTCATCCAACTGAAATATTGATCCCACAAGTCTGTGATCCCTGAATTCTTTTTCAACTCAACTGACAGGTCTTCTAATTTCTTTATAGCCAGAGTAACCTTACCATTCGGGCCAGTATTGTCAGGAATATATGTACAACATGTTCTGGTTCCTTCTATCATTTTACAGACACCTCCTTTTTCCGCTTAAAAATCATGTCCAGAGCCATCCTATCTCTGGAATGTCATGTAGGATGTAGGGGCTAAAACTGGTCAACGATTCCTTGAAGGGCATCCCTGGTGTAATTCACAAACCTCTGTTGGTTGTAGTATATGTAATTTATCCAATCTACATTTTTATTAACAGTTATCATGGGAATCAGGGATTCAAAGCCTGCTTTACTTGGTCTCTGGCTTTAAATTTATTAGGCACCCCCTTGGGACTCCAATGGCATCTATATACAACATGTGGGTCAAAACTGCCAGAAGGAGCTTTTCGTTTCCTCCTACGGCCAGGCGTTGGGTCAGGGGTATTCTCTGCTAGGATGTGGAGAGGCATAATGGCCTTTGCAAGAGCACACTCACCAGTCCAAATCCCTTCCAATCTGATTCTAATATTTTGGTCCCCAGTAATCATCCATGACACATATGTATACCTGGTCACTACTATCGGAACATGCTTGTTGTGTCAAGATCATATAGATTATGGTCATAGCACCACATGGGATCTATACTACAGAAATCAAAGGTGAAAATAGCTACATGAGTGTTGGATGAGTTGTACCAAAATATAATGGTGTCACCTATTTCGGTGATATCCACCTGTTGAGCCTCTGTCAGACTTATAAGAAAAAGGATATACAACATAGTTGTCATGGTGTAGATGACGCCTTTCCCTCAGGGGTTGGGACTTTCTTGCATTGGGAGGCGTGTATCCAAGTGTTCTTCCCGGCCACCTTGTCAGAAGGGGCTGTGGTCAGCAGAACTTGGAAGGGACCATCATATCTTGACTCAAGGGAATGTTTCCTCATAAATGTCTTTACTAATACCCAATCTCCGGGTAATAGGCTGTGAGTTCCTGTATCTGACTCAGAATCTGGGAATGGAGAAAACACTTGGACACGGATACGGTTAATTCACGTGATAATACAGTCACATAATCAGTTAACACATCAGACTGTAATTTCAACTGTTGTGGAAAATAACATCCAAGTCTGGGGGTCTGAGCTAAACAAAATCTCATAAGGGGACAGGGAGTGTTCTCTCTTGGTGTGTATCTGACACTAAATAGGGCAATAAACAGACTGTCTGGCCAATCTCATGCCAGTCTCTTGGGCCATTTTTAGCATTCTGGCTTCAGAGTGCCATTCATTCTTTCTACTTTTCCACTACTTTGGGGGGTGATAGGGGGTATGGAACGCCAGAGTGACTCCTAATGCCGCCCATATTTCTTTGGTTACTGAAGCTGTGAAAGCGGGGCCCTGGTCACTCTCTATCACCTCTGGAAGCCCATATCTGCATACAACCTCAGTGAGGAGTTTCTTCGCAGTTGTTTTAGCAGTCATGTTAGTTACAGCAAAGTCCTCTGGCCAACTGGAAATCATGTCCAACACCACTAGGGTGTACTCAACCGCCCACTCTTTGGGCATCTGGATATGATCAATTTGTATCCTTTGAAAAGGGTATAGGGGTTTGGCCAAGTGTTTCTGTTGGTGTCTTCTCTGTGCGTCCCGTATTGCATTTTTGCACAGATGGCACATGTTCTGCAAAATTGTTTGTCAATGTGGTGATTCCAGGACGCTATATCGTACTTGTTGATAAAAGAGTTCATGAGGCTCTTTGACAGATGGGCTGCTCCGTGTGCCCACTGGACTACAGCTGGAAACATATTCTTGGGTAAACAAAGCCTCTTGTTGCACTCAAACAGACCATCTTTGAGAACAGCTCCTCTCCGTCTCCAGCTTTCTTTTTCTTCTGGACTTGCTGCTTCTTGGAGTTCCTTGAGGTAGCTTCTGTCCACAGGTAAGGTCTGTAAGGTGAATATTGGTTCCCACTCTCCAGTCACCTCTCCTTCCATTTCTGGTGGTCCCATATGGCCGCTCGTTTTGCCGCCAAAATCTGCCAGGATTATTGCCTTTTGGCTTCTGAGGAGTTTATTTCCCATGAGCTTTTACCTTCAGAATAGCCACTTGAATGGGGTAGAAGGAGTGCTTCCAGCAGTCGTCCAATGCCTGCTCCATGTCTTGATGGACGTACCTGCCGCAGTCATAAATCCTCTTGCCTTCCATTATGGGTCCTAAGTCATGGGCCACCCCAAAGGCGTATCTGGAGTTTGTGGTAGTATTGGCTCTTTTTCCTTTCCATCATCTGGCATTGCTGTTGTGAGTGCTTGAAGTTCAGCTCCCTGTGCAGATATTGCTGGCGTTAGGGCTCTTGCCTGTAGGACTGTGTCTGCAGTAGTGACCGCAAATCCTGTATGGTATTTTGCCTCCATTCGTCTGCATATCTGGAAGCATCAACAAACAAGGTGAAGTCTGGGTCTGCAGAGGTGGTTTACTCACTCTGGGGAGATGGAAGGTTTCCATTTTCATCACTTCAAGACAATTATGAGGGCTCAGTGGCTCCATCATCCGACTCCACACTTTCTGCATTATCTTTATTACCCCCCCCTCAGCAATTGGGAGGAGAGTGGCCAGATTCAGGGTTTGGCAACGTAGGAGAGTGAAAACGTTATCAGGAAAGTTGGGGGGAATACTGTAGTCTAAGATGCCAGGTTGGACTTGGTTTAAAATGGCAGCAATGTCATGCTATAGGCGCCCAGAAGAACAAGTTCATGTCCCAGAACAATATCAGAGAGGTCTTATCCAGCAGAGCTTGAGCAGCGAAGACAGCTCTTAGACATGAAGAACCACCCTAGCTACGGGGTCCCAAATGGCAAGAATAGTACCCAATGGGTCTGGTTTGCCCTCCATGTTCCTGAGGCTAGCGTGGTTCCGTTGGTGTGGGCCTTGGCGTTTCAGGACACGAACAGTTTGAGAAAAAAATTTTCTCGTAGTCTGGTAGAACCTAGGGCTGGGGCTCAGAAAAGTTACGCATGTTGGAGCCATAAAGTTGGAGGCGGGGGCCTCTTCAGACAGATGGGAGGGCTCAGGACTTGAGAAAGCATCCGCGTATGAGTGGAT